ATGCGAGTCTAAGACTAGATTCTTGAGACTAATGAATACATTGCAAGACATTAGTCTATTGGGCAAAATACAGAGGGAAAACACCACGGAGAGAGAGAGAGAGAGAGTATGTGTTAACTGACCATGGGCAAAGTGAGACAATCAGCCGCCGGATTATATCGCATAATAGACAACAAATACAAGACTTCAAACGAGCTGTTCTTGAGGAGAGCGATGCGATCGGTTTCGCACAGGCGTTGAAACGATTGCAAACTCTTCATAAAAGCGACAATCATTTGTATCTCTCGCTCCCAAATATAGCCCATTGTTTGTCTCAACTCGTGAAGTGTGACAATCTCTGTGACCGACGATGTCTTCGGACAGTCTATGAGACTGTTGTGGACGGCGTTCAGCAATTCCCGGAGCACTTTGCGCTCCGAGTCGTTAAATGGTGTGCTTTCGGCTGAGCTGTCCGTAGCTATCGGTATGATTGACAGCTCAAACTGTACGACCTTTTCGTACACGTCGTCCGCAATGTCGGTGTCGTCGGCGGCGGTGAACGAGTGGTTGTTATTATTGTTGCGATCAATGGTTCCGATCTCCAGAAGTTGGTGATCGTCACCGATTGGCACCAATTGTTCGCCATAGTTATCGTAGGCGAAAAAGTCGGTGTCCAATAGATTGGCTGTTGTGTTGGTTATAGGGCTGATGGAGGGAAGGGGTGTCGCATCCGCTGTGCAAACACTTAACAACGAGTACTCATTGTTTGTGTCGACGCCTGTGTTTACGGCAAACATATCGCTTGAATCGCTGATCGTTTCGCTGTATTGCGAGTAAAACGATGTCATCGTCTCGTCGGGAGAGGCGGTGCCCGACGACGGATGGGGTGTCGCCGGTGTGGCAGAGGTTTCGCCGCTACCCTTTCGTTGTCGGCGTTTGGCCTCTAATTTCAAGCGCCGAAAGTGTCTTTCCTCGTCATTCAGTATGAATTCCTATGTGTTTATGATAAGTACAAAATGTGTGTTTTATTTTATAAGAGTGTAAAATGATCATGGTTATAATTAGAATTATTTACCCTTTTCATGCCGATAGCGAAGCACTTTGTAAGCCGACACTTTTGACAAAACTTCCTAGTTACCTCGTTGATCGGACACATGCCTTCAAACAGGCATTCAAACTGTTAGTTATAGTAAGAATATTCTTGAGAAACTTATTGTTAAATATAAAATTATTTAATAATATTATAATAATGTAATTAAAAGTAATAAATACAGTGTTTTTCAACGCGTTTCTCCTGAAGAATGCTTTACACGGCTCACACGTAACGGCACCAAAATTTTTGCCTACATTTTAATTAATTATTAATTTATTTGTTGTTATGATTATGTAATTAATTGCATACCAATAGCCTTATGGCCGCAAACGCCGCATATCTTTGGCTCACGTCGTGATTGCTTTGATTTAAATTCAGTCATATTTTTGTTGTAATACAATATAATTACAAATAAAACAAATTTCAGATTTATGTTTATATGAAAAATATGTTACATTTGCACTAAAATAATCAATACAGTATACATTATGTTATTTTTATAAACCATTAAGGTAAATCAAAAGCTGCTGTCAAATAATGTATGCAATTGACGGCAAATAACGTCAATACAGGCATAAAAACAATTGTCACAAACACTTGATTCCCAATATATAATAAATGATTGAATATTCTTGATATCAGTGGTAGACTGTATGCAAACTAATCAACCAAAACCATCACATATTTTAATAATGTTTAATTAATTAATAACTCACAAAAAAGTTCACAAACTTTAAATTAATGTCAATTAAATTAACAAATTATGCAAATAATGAGCAAAAATAAACGCCACTAAACACTGCAATATCATAAATAAATTGTCAATTCTATAGCACAATAAAAATTGTATATGAAAAACTAATTTTCATATAAAATTATACATTAAATCAATACAATGAAATGCCCTGCAACTCGTGATTACACTGGGTGTTTAATGTTTAGTGCATTTAATGATTGGCATCTACTGTATATATAAAATATATTTTTTTACATAGATAGAGTGTGCCTGCATTTTCAATGTCACCGAGTTTGATTTTTAAAACTACACTGTTTAGAGTACATGTTGGTTATTTTTTGGTGCAAAAATAGTGCATGCAATTTCATTGGTTGGCCACCATGTTATTTGAAATGCACAAATTGCTCTTGGTGGAGGGAATTTCCCTTTTAGTTCCTTCTCTTATTTCTTTATATTGTATTTTGTGTTGAATTTAATTAAGAGTTTTTCTCAGAATTTGTTCAATGGGTGGAAATTTTGATGCAATTGTAATACACGAGACACTAATCAATGATGATTTCAATATTTGTTTTGTCTATGATTTTTAATAATAGTATTTTTAGTCCAAAAATATTGATTATAAATATTGCGATGAAATTCTGGAAATATATTCCGGATCTTATTTGTACACATCATATGTTTCCTAAAATTGTTTCATTAGTCATACTATTGTTTTCTATCAATATTTAAAATAATTATAATTATATTATTATATTTATATTAAATATCCATAAAATCATAATCTAAGAAATTCCGGATATTATATCACTATCTTATCGATCAAACGGTACATGTCTTGCAGACCAGGGATCAGATCTGAAAATTGTGTCTTTGTTTCCCCGCCTAAGCCTTATATTAATAGATAGTTTGCACTTTATCATATATCCAATTACTGTTGTGTAATATCAATAACAGGTGTATAAATAAAGTAAATTTTATTACCTTAAAAACTTTTGTTAAACACTATTCAAACGCGTGTTAATCACAATATTTAACGACATCTCTATTCACTGAATTGAATTGTTTTGCACTAAAAGTACACATTTTGTACTGTAGTGCAGGTATTATGTGTAGAGAATATTCTGTTTATTTCATGTGTGTCTAATGAATTATAATTACTATAAGGCTGTTTTATTATTTCAAGGTTTACCCTGTTAAAATTAATTTATTCTAAATACAAACACGCTAACTCACATCTACTGTTTATTTAATAAACTAATCACTTTTATTTGTGATATTGTTAATTTATAAATATTTCATGGTATATAATTAGTAATTTTGGTTATGTTTAATCTCTCTCTCTCTCTCTCTCTCTCTCTCTCTCTCTCTCAAGTAAATTGTCAATTGATTTACTATTAATATTAATCTAATTATATAAAAGTTATTTAAATGATCTGTTAATAATAAATTGTATATATTTTTGTCATTCAATTCTCTGAATATTTTACTGCAAATAAAACCAAACAAAATTATATACAATAACATTTTGCAAATCAAATCATTAAACAATTAATACTAGTAATCAATTATGGTAATTAAACAATTCAGTAATAAAATGCTGCTTAAAATCTCTGGTTATATATGACGTTAATTAATTAATTAATCTGCCGGCAAAAGCAAATGTTTAATTAATTTCCAGTCCATTTGGTGACTAGCGTTACGTTATACACTGTATATGCTGTAAATCAACAAATCACTAATTAATTTACCATATTTTAAGTGCATCATAATCGGGTACACTATAACGTACATAAAATACAAACTAGTACAACAATGTGGTTAAATAATGATTAATTAAATACATAATTTACATTTAAATAACAAAATTAAACAAAACCATCAAATTGATCTAATGTATGATAAAACATTTAGTTGCTGTTTAAAACTTAATATAAAGTATTTGTAAGCACATCACTATTTAAGCACATCTATTTACCTAGGAATTATTATGCACATTAAACACACCACGGGCATTAATTAACTAGATTAAGAATCAAAAACTATTTTTGTTAGTATACTGTATAACAATAGTTTATAAATTATAACTTATTGCAAAATTACCATATAATAACTAAAATTTCAATTTTTTTGTGAAATAATTTTAGAGAATTTAACGTTTTTTGACACTATTCTGCATTCATTTACCTAACATATGAGGTTCAATAGTATCTCTAGTAGTGATTCACTATTTATTTCTTATTGAATAATGACTTTTGGTTCAGTTTTAGTGCATTTGTAACAATATATTGCATACATTAGATCTGATATAATTGTTATGAATTATTACTTATAATTGATTTAAAATGTAATATAGCCATATATTTATTATAATAATTACGTTAGTTTTATAAATTGCATAAAATGTGTTTATTTTTAGTAACTTTAATTAGGGTTAGAATTCAAAATACTTGAGATTATTCACTTACAAGTGTATATGTTAGTAAATTTTATAGAATGATACACTACTTGGTTATTAACATAATATCATGTACCTATATAAATTCATAAGTTATTTTAGATATTTTCCTATTTATTAAGTAATAAATAAATAAATATTTATATTGATATGATTTGTGTGAATGAAATAAAATTATCATAAGGAATTAAATGCACTAAATATATGCTTTACTCATTAAATAAGTTACATGTAAAATAGCTGAATATTTTAAAATTAATTAACTAATTTAACCATAAATAAATATGAGAACTTCATATATAATTTTAATTTTTATTCATTCATTAATATTCAAATTCATTTGAAATAATACTATTCTTAATAAAAATTGTAATTAGCTTAAACTATAAAAAGTTGCTGTCAATTTATCATCATTATTATTACTATTATTATAATAACTAGCATTTTAATTCAAATAGTTTGAGGTACATTTATTGATCAATTGGTGTCTTTCATTTTTAACAAACAATTACACAAAAACATTAGATTAATGCACTTAATGGTATATTATTACCTTGACACAATGCATTCAACCTAGAATGTCGCTGTTCAATAGTGTAAGGCGTTGTTCACATATTACGTTCGCACTTTTTCAGAAATCTAGACCCCCCCCTCCAATTATTATTGCTAATCTGCGAATTGTTAGAAAAGTTACCAAATTTAAACAAAATTAATAATTATTTACATTTACTGTCTTTAAATATTTAAATCTAAAACAAAAATCTTAATAAGTAATTTATTAAAATTTTATTTTGCTTAAATTTTCAGAAACAAAATACCAAAATGAATCATCTATCAAATATTCCATAGTTAACTAAATGATATAATTAATCTTATCATCTAATATGAATTTCAATGACAAACATTCAATAATATTGTAGATTCTGTCAATAGTTTTCTATTAGAGAATTACTTATAGACTACTCGAACACAAATTGGATAAATGTATTGATAATTAGTTAACTTTTAGTGCATTTTATGGTAAAAACATAGCATTCGTTGCGATAAACAAAATCATTAAAGATATGAATGAATATTATGTTTCACACATACATATCCATAATTATTTAACATTAATGATTATTTTGACACTACTTTACTGTTGCACACATTTAGCTATTGGTAATAATCTATTTAGTTATACTCAATGACACAAATTAATATATTGCTACTGTACCTAGTGAGTACTTATTGCTATTAGAAATTACCAATTCATTATTGTTAAATAAATAATTTATTAATATTGATTTGTGAATTACATTCTTGATTTCATATTATTTTTATATTTTCTCATAAAAATACTTTTCATTAATTAATCCTTTATTAAATACAGTGTATTACACACACACACACTCTCTCTCTCTCTCTCTCTCAAGTAAATTGTCAATTGATTTACTATTAATATTAATCTAATTATATAAAAGT